CAATTTGCTTGTTGTATGTTGTTTTCAACCCAGATCTGCTCAATAAGGCCATTTAAAGCTTCACGCATCTTCTTAGCTCTAGCTCACGTGAGTGGATCTCCTTGGGTGTGTAATGGATCACATGACGTAGTAGATATGCTGTTGTCTTGATTCCATCATTTGAAGATGTGTGTGGTTTTAATCCACTAGGCAAAAAAACTTGAAGAACTGGGAAGAATGTTTGCCGCATGTTGAATTTGCTTATAATCGGAGCATCCATTCAGCAACTAACTGTTCACCATTTGAAGATGTGTGTGGTTTTAATCCACTCACCCCTTTGGGTTTATTACCATTACCCATTAATGAACAAGCTAGTTTGGATGGGAAAAAGAAAGCTAAAGTGGTTAAGAACCTACATGAGAGGGTGCGACAAAACATAGAGCGACGAATTAAGCAATATACAAATCAAGCCAATAAAGGGCGCAAGAAAGTTGTGTTTGAACCTGGAGATTGGGTTTGGGTGCATATGCGGAAGGAGCGATTCCCTGCACAAAGGCATTCTAAGTTGCAACCAAGAGGCGATGGACCATTTCAAGTGATTGCAAGGATAAACGACAATGCATACAAGTTGGAGCTTCCTGGTGAGTATAATGTTAGGGCTACTTTTAATGTTTCTGATCTTTCTCCTTTTGATGTAGGTGACGATTTGAGGACAAATCCTTTTGAGGAGAGAGGGAATGATGGGAATCAAGATGACCCCACATGTACCACGTCAATAGATCCATTACACATTCCAGGAGGTTCAGTCACGAGAGCTAAAGCCAGGAAAATGCGAGAAGCTTTAAATGGCCTTATTGAGCAGATCTGGGTTGATAACAACATGCAACAAGTAAATCGAAGCTTGGATGATTATCAAAGCATGATGAACATCATTCAGGTTCAAGAAAAGCTTAATTGAGGTCATTTATGCTAAATTACACAGTTTGCGTCAATCTCGTAATTCTGTCGCAATTTGTAACAAACTGATAGTTCATGTTGCTTTAGGTTACTTTTAGTGATTTTCACGTTTTTTATATTATTTTGTGCTGAACATTCATTTATTTAAGGCCCAATTTGTGGTTATTATGATTAGGGCTTAGGGTGTTAGTTTCCTATTCTAATTGGAATTACTTTTCCCTATTTAAGGGGCTTGTAACCCTAATTGGGGAAGGCGATTGAATCTGAGTTTTTGAGAGACTTTTCTCTTTGGTTCGTTTCAGAACTTTACAGAACTTATCAAGATTATTCTTGTGGTGTTCTAACCTGACTTATTATTCTCGTTCTTAATCGTTCAAGAGTGTGGCGTCAACCAACTTTATACCTTTGGTTCTTGTTGCATCATAGACAATGGGTCAAGGTTTTTACCTTTGGATCTTGTTGCGACATAAACAATAGGTCAAGGTCTTATTATAAACTTGATTTGGCTTTCCTGGAGTTTAGAAATCCCTTGTCGTGCTGTGGGTCTCCTTATTCTCTTTGGGGTTCTCATCATCTTGGTATTAGAGCATGTTGAATCAAGACGACTTAATGATTCTTTGCCTAGTGTTGTTAAATCTGTTTTGCAGGACTTCAAGGACATGTTTCCAGAGGACATCCCTAATTGTTTACCACCAATAAGAGAAATTGAGCATCAGATTGACTTCATTCCAGGTGCAACAATTCCAAACCGACCAGCATATCGAAGCAACCCTAATCAGACGAAAGAACTTCAAAAACAGGTTGAAGAACTCATGAAGGGGCATGTGAGAGAAAACATGAGTCCATGTGCAGTTCCAGTGCTACTTGTGCCTAAGAAGGATGGGACTTGGTGTATGTGCGTTAATTGTCGCACTGCCAACAAAATCACTGTAAAGTATCGTCACCCTATTCCTAGATTAGATGACATGTTAGATAAACTGCATGGTACTTGCATATTCACTAAAATTGATTTAAAAAGTGGGTATCATCAGATTAAGATGAAGGAAGGTGATGAATGGAAAACATCCTTTAAAATGAAACATGGTTTATATGAGTGGTTTGTTATGCCATTTGGATTAACTAATGTGCCTAGTACATTCATGCGATTAATGAATCATGTTTTGTGTGCTTTCGTTGGCAAAATTGTGGTTGCTTATTTTGATGACTTTCTGATATATAGTAAGAGTTTAACTGATCAGATTGAGCATTTGCAAATGGTACTTGAGGTTCTGAGAAAAGAAAAGTTGTTTGCTAACCTTAAAAATTGCACAAATCAGATTGTCTTTTTAGGGTATTTTGTTTCAGCTGATGGACAAACAGAAGTGGTTTATAAGACATTGTCAACCTTATTGCGATCTATTATATAGAAGAACTTGAAGAA